TGATGTGATCTTAACAGCCATCATTCTCACTGAACTTTTACAGTTTTCTTTCATTTTCTCAGCTTCTTTCCTTATGATCCTTATAGTTGATTCAAAGATTCCCATGACTATGGCCTTGTCCAATGTCCATTCATTATGTTCATTACCTCTTAATCATATCCAATTTTCCCTCAAGGGTAAAAAATTTCTTTTCTTCCTTGCTGACGCTAGAAATTCTGTCACTTCTTCTACATCCACTCATGATGGTCACTTAAAGTTTATGGGTTACACAAATTTAAAAAGACAAAATGTTACCGGAGATGCTACATGGTCAACAACTGCAGAGAGACTGAGATGACTGCAACGAAGTGGCTATGTGCATACATGTTGCAGCATGTAAGGTGATCGTGCATACAAATAACAATATTATTGATTACAAAACTGCATTACAGAAAAATCCTGAAGTGGGATTGCACACAACAAGGGATACCAGTTATCTCATCAGCACCATGACCTTCGATGCAAAACATATGATTTGTGGATGAAAGGATGACAATAAGATCTAAGATAACCCACCAAAACTCTTTCCAGATTTCCTTACTGCTACAGTGAACAGAGGTTTATCATGAATATTGTGTAGCCCCAGCTACAATCGTTGTTTACACTTCCTACAGAATGGACAATACTTTGTAAGATGAGGCACCGACTAAATAATTGACATTAATATTACTACATCTACATCACAAGCCTATAATAACAGCTTTTTTATATACACACAAAATATAGAATACTCCAATTTGTCCTTGGGAACGCAACAAAATTACAAAAACCAACGACTGACTCGATGATGTAAACCATCAATCGAAGAATTTTATTTTTATTTTATACTATAACTTTTGTTTTATATAATATAATTTATTGTATTTACATCAAGTATTTTATATAATTAATATTATTGTATCCAATTTTACTAATACTGCAGTTCAGTGGTGTATATATGTTAGCCATGTATTTGCCTGATGATGGCTATTAATAGCCGAAACATGTAGCAGAGCCAAAACTAGGCACTGACCTCGATATAGTTGTGTTGTGATGATTTTAATAAAGACGGTGAGAACTGATACGTCACATCCTACACACCACCTATGTCTGAGCACTTTACTTAATGACAGGAGAAAGGAAAATCTATAAAGGTGTATTTAGATCAAACACAGAAAAAATGAAAAGTAGCAATATGCAAACTGGATGGCAAAAAAGTATTTACCAAAGTAATGATCAGACCATTCAAACTTTCTTTTCTCACGGGGTTACAACAACATGAACAATATGTAAAGTAAAAGTAAAGTTGTCTTTGTGCTCAGTTAATTAGGTATCATGGAATGAAGATATACAGGCGAATGGAGGTATAGCTCCACATTCCAGACCTTGGCACTAGATGGAGGTGAATGGTCACCTTCAGACCCCATATGAGTTTACTAATTTATGTTCAAGTAGCTCAGTTTTGTCTTATTTATTTTTGGTGCTTTAGGCCAAAACAATTCTGATTTATATGAACTAACTTTCAAGACTCTCAATGCCACCAAACTACATCTGTCCTCTCAAACGTTATTTTTTGCTGTGTGTCAAAACACTGCCTTTGTTTGGGATCACTCCTGTTCAGGAAATGAACCTGATTACGTCTTACTAGTTGCAGCTATCACAAAACTCCCATTATCATCAATTACAGCAAGATTTCATGAAGGAAAGATCCTACTGGTTTTTAAAGAAACTGAATTAAATCTAATGTGTTGAACTTCAAAAGATCTGTGAGCTGACAATTTCTTCATGCAGAAGTGAAACAACCCATCACCGTGTAACACACAAACATGCACACAAAAAAAGTGTTTTCCTTGCAGGGTTTGGACCTAAAGGTTCTCACTCTACCCTATGAAATCATAAAACGGAACTTTCTATTTGTGGAGTAACACTTCTGGAATACGGGTAACACAGTAAATGGTTTCAAGGACAGATACACCAGAGGGGGATGCCCATTCTACCTGTGGCTCTGTCAATTCTAAAAAAACAGCAATTACAAAACACCGTCAACAAATGATGCTCTACAGCAAACTGAAAACTGGCAAGATAACGAATGTCTAGCAAACATCTAGTAGCTCTAAATGTGATATGCTGGAGGTACTTTGTACCGCTCATCTACTGTTGATGGACCTCCATTTTGCACACTGTAACAGTATAGAAATGCTAACAGAAATGTACAGAACGGCCACACATCATATTTCTTTTACTAATCATCTTACAGTTACTAAAAACTGGTGTCTTCCACAACTACCAAATTGTGACTGAAGGGTTCTGAACATGCAGGCTCATAGTTCTAGCTACAAGAAACTGCCTACATCTAGTTTTAGTGCTCTTCATGTTCTCAGTTTATAGTTAGGGACTATACCCTGGCATATGGGCAAGTACTGGGAATGTGTGCAAATGTTGTCAGGAAGCCCATAGACCGAATTCAGCGATACAGATGGCTGGAGTGCATTATAATTCATATTCTTCTTCCACAGTGCAATCTAAAATTCTTATGGGAAATCCTGATATTTATTCTTAGTTCCAAAATTAAAGTATTGAACAGCTGAATTATTAATGCATGAATGAAAATGTTTGGCTCTTTTTTTAGTAGTGTGCTGTACTTGGCAACTGCTTTACAATATTACAAAGCTAAATTACCAGAAAAAGGACTACAGAAATATCATAAGAAGCATACACAACTTGCTCACATGTTTGCAGTTCAGAAGGGAATCAAGGTGAGAAGTAAGCCACCATCAGAAATTTCAGATACTGATCTGCAGAGCGACCTATGGTGGAAGCCCTAGCTTACAAGAATATAACTTCCTCCTTATCGTGATGGTGAAATGGTTGCGGAACAAAGAACTAATTTTGGAGCATGACTCTGAAGAAGCTATTTTGTCTGCTAATGAACACTGGAACACAATGGGTGGTACAGGAATGAGCCGTTGCCACGGAACAATTTGAACAACACACTACACACGTGGACTTCTGACGTGTCCAACCCCTTACTGGAAATGTGTGTGGAATTAACTCACACAAACAAAAATTCTACATCATATTACTATGTATCTCCTTTTCTTCATGACAGATTCAGCTCTTTGTAACAGAGACACACGCACATTACAAATACAACACAGCCAATTTATAGCAGATGATAAAACTCCCCTCTTGCCATCAAAAGATTACTCAAGCCTAACACTCATTTCATCACTAACATGGGGAAAATACTGAAATAGCAAGGTTAAAACAAAATACTATACCTGAACATCCTCCTTGCAAATCCCTCAGATTTCTTGCATATGAGATCAGGATTTCAAGTTTACTACATTTCCAAAAAGAACTTCAATTCATGGATGTAAAATTCTTACAGAGGTACCAAGTATGCATGAATAACAGAAAGCATTCCATTACCTACAGCAATCTGAGTAAGTTTGTAATGTGTTGCATTACATGTTTGTCAATTCCAAACACAACTCAAATCTCTGGGGGCTTAACTATACAGCAACAGTGTCCAGCTCCTATGCCTAAGCAGCTCGGTGATTTGTGGGAAGCTGTATGATGATTCCACTGTACTTCAATGAATCTTCCGACCCACTTGACAATTTCCTGACATGACCACATGGGATATATACAACAGACAAACAGCATATGGTAACAGAATTTTGCAAAATATGCAATCCCGGTTAAGGTCATCTTTTTTTAGGATGTAAACTAACAATACTGCAGATTATGTGAGAAGTGTCTTTAGTTTTCTGTCTGATGGTAACAGCTATAAATGAGTGGAGTTAGGCATGTGAAATTTGTAAATAGCAGACACATTCCTACCTTATGTTCAAACTATTGCTTGTGAGTTGACAATTACAAATACACTTCCTTGTCGACTTACAACCGGTCACACTTAAGACCNTATATGGCCGACATACAACCAGATCGACTTACAACGTGTCAGTCAGAACAGAAGTTGGTCGTAAGTCGACGACCAACTGTATGGAAATGGCACAAAACTCTGAGGCTATCTTCAATAAACTTTACACTGAATAGGTACATAAACAATGCTATTTACAGAGAATAAAATGAAAACATTAAAAAGCAGCAGGGTTAGAAATTTATGCAACAGAAATGTAGGTTACACAATTTCTGCTTATTTTTCTGATTTATAGTCAACCCCCCCCTCCCAGTTAAAATTCTTCCTGTCATCTCTACTCAAGTACAACAAAGCATCAATCTATTATATGTGTATGGTATTACATTTGATATTGGCTGGCATGACCAAGACCTCTTACAGTTATCTCCAAACCTTTTCATGCTATTCATGTGGCAAGTATTAATTTACAGGTTACGTATCCATCTGCTGTTTCTTACATGAAGGCTCACTGCACTGAATGACAGAAACACAATAGCATGGCTGGCCTGCTGTCACCACCCTGACTCCAATATACGAGTGTCATATAATGGTACAGTAACTTTACATACCACTTTAAGATACAAAGCTCAGTACCATGCTTAGAACCAAGTAAGTCTACTCTTCAGCTCTGATTTGAAATTATTTAAGTACTTACAAATATGGGAGCTTCCAAACTAAGACGTGTGAAATGACAAGTCTATTAAGCTGTGGGATACTGTTTTAGGGAGGAAAAGTTTCTGAATTCCACCACTCAGAAATTTTATATTATCTATGGGCCACAGGAAGGTTTTAATCTGACATGAGATTTCACAGCTATAACTGTTTTACTGCCATGCCTCCTTTATGCATTCATGGTGTGATGGATGCTTATAGACAGCAATAAGTTTCTCCCTTGAATCATGCATAATACAATAACAAATACTCATCTCAAATGCTGCCAAGCAACTTTAATCTGATTTAGTCTATGTAAAGGGCTACATGAATGACAAGATGGATACAACCTCCCCAAAAGAACTTTCACACTGTGCCATATACACGGGGAAATAAAAGCAGTTACCTTCTTCGTTTTGTAGGAGATTTTGCCATCTCTGCAGTTGGTACTAGCTGCTCCCCAGGGCGAATCCATAAGATAGGCCCATCATTTGATTCCTGAGGAGTTTCCATTTGCACAACTGACAGTGGTCCCCATGGCATAGTCTGGGATAAGAAAATAACATAAAACGTTTGCAGGAAAGTGGGAATTTTGTGTTACATGTCACCACACACATGCATCTTCAGAGATACATGTATTTCGGTGATGACTTCACAACAGATGACACACAGCTTGACTTATTACTCAAAATTAATATCCTTCTCATCTCTTGCTCAAAAATAAATCTGGTGAAGAAGGAAATCAATTAAACCATTACAAACAGCAATATACAGGTTACTTTAGCAACTCCCAACCTCTTCCCATCTTCTAAGTTCGTCATGCCTCGTAACTGTACCTATGACAGCACTGACTTCTGAAGCACCAAGTCTGCTCCAAAACCTAAAATGAATTCACATAGGAGCGGACAAGTGGACTGAGATTGGAATATAAATACTCTAGCAATCTGATTACAGGAATGTCAATTTTTACAAACACTATATGCAATACTTATGTACTGAAACTGTTATTCATTCACACTGTTGTCTACAAAGGAACCTTCAGGGTAAAAGGTACCTTGAAGGTGGAGACAGTATGTTCCTCTAAAACTCAGTGAAGGCATATGGGAGGAGTGGATGTACAGATCCACAGTTTCTTGGCCTCGGCACTAGCTTGGGGTGAGTGGTCAGCTTCACGCCAAAGCTGCTTTACCCCCCCCCCTTTCAGGGAAAGAGCCTCCAGTTCCCATTGGATAGGTTGGGTGGACCCCACAACTGGTCTGGATGATTTAGACTAAATCGTCCAGACCAGCTCTGGGATCCATCCAACATCCTATCCAATGGTACCAGGGCCTCTTTCCCCGAGGTTAAAGTGGCTGGGGCATGAAACCTACAAGATTACATGGTGTCGACCCACAAGATCACAACATGGATCTCCACTACCATGAAAACTTAAAAATTTCATATAAGTCACTCAGTCATCAATATCAGAATCTTTTTAAACACACATTGCTTATAGGTGAATAGTAGCAACTTTGTATTTTCTTTCCCGTTTCTGAAAACTTCCAAAAATCTTTTGTTCCAGAAGACATGAAAAAGAAATGTAGGTATACAATTTACCATCTTCAGAAAGGGATTCTCCTCCAGTCTGGCCAATAAGTCTGGAAAGAAGCCACCGACCTCCTCATGAACTGTTCCAACTAAGCTAATCTGGTGGAGAGGTCCATATCGAACAGTTCCATTGGCATAATGTTTGCACACCTGTAAAGAAACAATGTTGTTTCCTCCTTGATATTTCAAAATAAGGTTCAACAGAAGGTAAACAATGTGATGCATCAAACTATTTGTCCCTGCCAAGGCAAAACATGTTCAACTTCTCAGTAATTGTCTCCAAAATACAGGGTAAAAGGGTAACACAAAAACTGCAACTGGGTAATGCTGTCGATCAACTTTCATCCACTCAGTTTGAAACTGCATGTGATACCAGTGCTATTCCTAAGGACTACTAACTATGTACAAGTGACTTTAGTCTGTATATCCAGAGCGGCTTTTTAAACATCCATTGGAGCGTTGTATTTTCTTTGGGATCTAAGCAATTACATTTTTATTTACTCAAAGGCAGAGAGTACATTATTTCATACAAGGGCTTACCTACCACTCAACTGCAGCCAGAATTCTTCCTAATATCCACACAATTAAAAGAGATTACCTGGTCCCTATACTGCTTCATGGTTGTTGTTTCAATGTCAGAATTTCGCCCTAGCACTCCGTTCTTGACAGTGAGTGATGGGTAATTTTCTGCCATGTGTTCTAGTAGGTCTGGGAGATATGAGGCAGCATCATGAACTATTCCCATTACATGATGTGCACACCCTTCCTCATCTTCACCAAACACAACCTGCAAATATTTATTCATGAGAAAAAAATTAAAGCATATGGTTTCTTGTCTCTGCAGATATTTAAGATGAGGGACACATCACTGATTACACAATAAATGCGTGCAAACAGTTTGGAGGAGCAAACATAGTGGCAAAGCATTTCTGCACAAACGATTAATCTAGGAGAATATGTTTCAATAATACAAGTATTTAATACAGGCAGAAGTACCTGCACTACAAACAGAATAAGATTACTTCCTTTGTTAGTATCACAATACGGGGTTATTATGAATGATCCTCACACTTTCAAACACTAAAAAAAGACAGACTTACAGAAGTTTCTTTTGGGGTAATTATTTATAGGTTAGGTAGTATACACACAGTTACAATTATCTTTACACTTTCATACATAAAAAAATTTACTACAGCAAATTTAACAAAGCTGCTGCTGCTGCTGGGCAGGTGGTGGTGGTGGTGGTGAGAGCAGCAATAATGGTGGGAATAATTACTTTATCCAGGAATGAAAACTTTTCTAACAGGGTAAGCCACTTAAAACATACTACAGGATCACATCAAACCTGTGATAAACAAAGGGCAATATATTTGAAGAGTAGACTGAGAGAAACCCAAATGGAGGTTATTTCATTGAGATTACTGACTTGGAACCACTGATACTGAACATTCAATGAGGGAAAATATTAATTCAAGGAACATTAAACACAGGTTCCACTGCATGTATAATCTACATAAAATGACTCTCTCTTAAAGTAGTGATGCGGTCATTTATTGAAGCAGTCATCATGTGAATTCCAATTATATGTGTGTCCACTTTCTTTTGGGTTAAAAATAATTATTAGTCCCTCTAGGAAAGAGACGGGGGCATGCAGTACCATAGTTGGTGGAGGCACTATTTTACAAGCTGGAAGGTTGCGGGTTGAAGTCCTCATGAGGTCACTGGATTTTTTTCAATTGACCTAATCCTTCCAGCAGCACTGTGGTCCTGGGGTCGACTCAGGCTCTAACAGAAATGAGTACCAGGAATTAATTAAATAATTTTCCTGGGGAGTAAAGCGTGGCCTGCGCGTAGGCTGACAACCTTATGGCCATCTTTGAGCCGATTGTCGAGATAATGTGGGACCCTCAAGTCTCACAAGCCTATGGGCCTTCACAGACTGTTACAGGGATAGCTTTACTTTTTTACTTTTACTAGGAAAGATACTAAATTAAATCTTAGAGATCCATGAATGATATGGCTCAAGACAGGGACCAGCAGAGGGCTCTTGTGAACATAATGAACCTTCAGGTTCAATAAAATGTTTGGAACTTCTTGAGTAGCTCCCCAACTGGCAACTTCTCAAGAAGGGCTCAGCTCCATAAAATTAGTTAGTTAAGAGAGTGACAGTTCAACTTCCTTTGTACACTCCTGAGAATTTCACTGGATGCTACTGCCATATGAAATGGGTGAGTAAATGTGTACTTATTTCACACATTGTTTTGTATGAATGGGAAATGCATAATCTTATACTGAGGTATGTCAAAGTCTGGGGATTATAATACAATTTAGAGGTAAGGTTATGTCTAAAGGGAAGAATGCATTTACAAGTGTCACAAAACAAAATTCATACCTAGACCCAAGAAAACTGAAGTGAATAAATAGAATATTACATGAAGAAAGAAGTCAAATCTTACACAGAATATTACATTCTGAGGAGCTCTGTGCTTCAGTCTCTCTCATTCCAGTACACACTCACTAATCTGGATTAACTGGGGACAAAGGTCATCTGAATTAGTGAAGCAATATAATCTGCCCAACATCCTCTTCTGTAGCTTGTCGTCTTCTTGGTGACTTTTTTGTGTCAATGAATTTCCCATTTGCTTAAACTGAGTAAGCCAGTGATGAACCACACTGGCATTCAGGGGTGTTTTCTGTATGTACATGAAGAACTGCCTTGAATGGTTACAATGGACTTGAATTCAGCAAACCATTTGATACACTGAACTTTCTCCTGAATGGAGAATGCTGACTGGATGTCTGGCATCCAACACACCGTGAAGTTACTGTGAGATATTCCGGAAAACGATTTTCAAGACTGCTTCTGGCAGTAGCACCATTGTCTCACAAATTCCAGAGCTTCAAAAAGAGAGCATTTCAAAGGCAACAGCAGCAGCTAGTGCACAGGTAAGCAAATTTTCCTTTCACAGGGCCATTCCAGGAATCAAACTGTTGCATCTTGTATAAACATATCACGTGTAAGGAGACCAATCTATTACCTACAAAAACTTGCAGTCTAGCACAGTTCTACAGAAAACCACAACCCAAAATATGCCATTTTAGCAACCGAGATTACAGGCTTACAAAATACAAGTGACCCATGAAATAAAAGACAGTGATTTTTGAAAGAGCTGAATATGTAACTTTCATGTTAAATGAAATGGATGAAGTGTTTCTAAGACAACTATCTTCCACACACAATTATGGTTCACATCACAAGCCATGGTAATTGTCACATTTGTCAAATCTGGTAAGCAGATTAGCCGCAGAAGAATTTCTCAGCACAAGTGTAAAATCCTAAATATGAAAATGTGGTGCAGACTTCCTCATCAGTGTGTGATACAAACTTCCTTATCTGGCACTAAACACCATTCAGGGAAACTATTTCTCTTGACATGTTGGTGTTTGCTTTGCCACAAACTGAAGATATGAAACAGAGGAGAAACTGTAATTATCTTGCAACTAAAAATGGCCCCATCCCATTTCAATTACAATGCTTGACATTCAAAATGCTAGGTAAACTAACTAAAGGACTGGAAGAAGGGGACCAATAACCTACCCTCCAAGGAGTCCACATCTTACACCACTCATGTATTTCATGTGTGGATTACAATATTCTTTTTTTTTATGCAGAGAAAATCTGTGATTTATGACACATGTGAGAGATAATTTACACTGCTGTAATAACAACCAAACTGAACATGCTGTTGTATATGGGACAAAACTGGGTACCACTTGAATGACTGAGTCATGAATGGTACTCTCACTGAGACTTACTACAGCCAGCAGGAAACTTTCAAGTTTCACCAGATTAAAAAAAGTGCTTTGTTTTGTTTCAAATTTTGTAAGTTACTGCATCTTAAACTATGAGTTCTCAAATTAAAATCAGAGGTTCTTGACAATGGTGCAACACATTTTTGGACTCTGTCCATTATAAGACTGATGACCCTTTCTGGGGTTGGTGTATTGTGCAGTCCAGCTGGCCCAGCTGTGCATTTTTCAATCTTAATATCATTACCCCTGAGTTTAAATAAAGCCACCACACTTGCATAAGTAAGAGATTTAAAATCCCTTATTCCATGACAATAAATTGTTAACCCCAAGTTCAGATATGACTGCCACCCCTGTAGTGCCCGAGGATCTGAAACCCCTTCTAGGACAATAAACGTTAAAACAAATATGTTTCAGAAGTTGGTTCTACTTCTGTATTCAGGTGAAAAGGATACAAAGAAACTCCACTATTCTGGCTGCTCTGTAGACAAGAGTTATGTACAGAAGCACAAAGGCTCAGTGTGTAATTCTTCACATGTGGTTTACAAAAGAGACAGAGAAAGAAACTAAGTAAAATAATTTCAAAACAGTGTGTTGGACACTTACCTTAAAATATTCTTGTGCTAATTCTTCCATCTCTTCTTTGTTAAGACAATCAATTTCATCTTGATACATGTGCACAACTGTGGCCCCACCATTAGCATAAGTCTCTATACGAATGAATCTTCCATACTTAAGCTGTTCAAGGCCAGGTTTGATATATGGTAGAGGTCTGGGGAGGGAGAAATGTTTCGTTTGGTAATCGATCTTCAATCCAGTACCAAGGGAAGTTGAATCTGCAGAACCATATTTCACATACTTGTCAATGGTCTTGTCGCGTCGGCACTGAACGCCAATACTCGCTCGTTTAATTTTTGAACGTTTGTAACACCTTGAGCAATGATGTTTCCTGTCTGATGATGAGGAGCTATAAGACCTCTCTTTTCGATCAGTTTCCTTTGAATCTGAACTCCTTCTTTCATGGGAACTGGAATCTGCTGCACTACTTTCAAACTTCTTTTCTCTGTGATCAGACTTATCCCTGCTTGACCTGTGTCCTGAATCATTCCGTCTACTACTACTGCTACTATTACTGTGTCTTCTATGCACATTCTTTCTACTAGACATGTCTTGACACCCAGAAGAACTTGTACCTTTCTTTTCACAATCAGTCTGTTTCTTCAATGGACTGACATCACTCACATTCCCCTTATCATCAATGGATTCTGTTCTGGGCTGTGCAGCAGCAACCTTCTCATCTTCACTTGCAGCTACTGTACCATTGTCCTGCGAGCAGGGAGCACATTGCTCTGTAACTGCACCCAAAGTCAATGTAGCAGTACTTTCAGAATTAATTCCAGGATCTGCATTCTCAGAATGAACCCCACAGCCTGAAATGAGATAACTGTTGCCACTGTCCACTAACTTACTCTCGAAGGGTTCAGTTTTGGTTGCACTTATATCTACATTACAATTTAATACAGCCGATGGTAAAGAATCTACATCACTACTAATAGTCCTACATGTCTTCTTCCCATCTTCAAGTGAATGTGTTTTACCTTTCAGGACCAAAGGTGGGGTGTAACTTCTCTCACCAGTATTAGGATGATTCAAAATGCTCTTATCATAATTCACAGTTACATCTGATAAAGGGAGGGAAGGTTGCACATCCATACTTTTTACATCTTTAACATTATCATCAAATTCATTCTTTGGTTCTGTTCCTCCTCCTCCTCCAAATTTATGTTTTTTTCTTAAAGAATCACCAATGCAGTCAGGCACATTTAAACAGGGAGAGTAAGGCTGCTCATCCATAAGAGGTGTACCAGGACTCCCTACACTTTCATCCACTTTTTCTTCTTTTTGTAAAGTTTCATGATCATCTGAATTCTTTGTCTGTGGTATACATAACTCCACTTGACTAGTGTGTAACTGTGATTCTCCGGCTACTGCACTGGTGGAATGTGCATACATATCTGTCCTCTGAGTGGCTTCAAATGTTATCTTGGGACTTTCTGTAACATTTTTAGGATCAACCAAAGCACACTCTTCAGTGTGAGAACTGGAACCATTTTTAGAGCCAATTACATAGGAAACAGTATTAACTTCAACACAAATTCTTTTATCTCTCTCAAATAATGAACTGTCCACAGGAACTGAATCCAGCTGTGTATTATGATAAGGATCAATAGCACTGTTATCAGTTTCACTTTTTATGGTATGCAATGAAGATTTTATTGTCCTAGGAGAAACATCAGACCCATACTGCATAGTTCTGTCAGCTGATGATATGTCCAACTTCACATTCCTTGTACAAGACTGTACTAAGGGGTATACACCATCACTAAGTGTTGTACTGTCTGTGGTATATTCATGGCTTGCCTCTTTGGAAGATCCACTCAAAGAAACACGTTCACCACATTCCTCCTGCTCTGCTCCATGGAAGTGGGCTGGTTTTGTACTTGTGACAGAGAGCTAAAATAGGATATGGTACCACAACATTAATACCTTACATAAATATAAAACATGTTTCTGTTTTACATACACACAATTATCAACAGAGCAAGGGACATTCGTAAGATATAGTATTCAACTTTAATTTGATGACTTGACCCATTATACATCTCACCAAAGGCACTTGCAAAACTGAAAGCATTTTATACCACATGAAGCAGGTCAGCTGTGTAGCTGTAAATCCAATGATATCAACATTTCTGTTTAAAGACAAGTTAACATAAGAGTTCAAGAGCAATACAGATTTTTAATGTTGGCACAAACCTAGCAAAGAAACAACATGGAAATACTATGGAAAAGAGGAGCACTATCTTCTGGGACATAATACCGAGTAGCCCAATGAAGATCAGCCATGGCATTATATCCCAGAAGATGGTACTCTTCATAACCACTGCTGTGAGAACCTAAAATCCTACTATGGACGTTATAAATCTGGACTTCAGATCTTGTAAAATTGAAGCAGGTATACAAACTGTTAACTGTCTCATTTGGTCTGGGTGAAACAACATTTTAATTTCTAGTTCACAGAATAGTCTGTGGGATTTGTGGTGGACAAAGTGGCGCTGGGGCAGGTTTTCTCAACTTCAGTTTCCCCTACCAATCTTCATTCCACCAATTGCTCCACAATCACCCTCACCTATCATCTGTGGCTGGTACAATAGGCCAGAAGTGGCTGCAGTACAAGGGACTTAGTCCCACCCCACTAGCAATAAGAAAAGGGGGGGTACTGTATCAAGCCCATTCCATTTATAAGCACTAAGAGTGAAGCGTGTCAGACAGAAAAATGTGTATATCCTCATAAAATGCCTCAGTTACAACTAAGATGAGTTCCAGAACCTTTCACAATGCTGTCAAGGGCCAAGGTAGGCCAGAGCAACATGTGATGATGATGATGGTCCAGACACATATCAAGGTTTACTGCTCAAGAAACTACAGACAATGTGTATGTGATCTACTGACACCTGGTCACATTCCATATATTAAATGTACAAAAAATGATTGATGGTGCACAAGAAGTTTGCAAAAAGCCATGCCACACATTTTGGAAAAATAGATCTGTCAGTCAGCAGTCACTGTTCCCAAATATTAACAAATGTACGAAATATTTCTGCTGAAGACTGCAACTGGGGGACAATGCCACATTCTTTTAAGAACAAATGAATCCATGCATTGATTCACTGGGATTATGAAGAACATATGTATAGGTGATTAACCTTTGTATGCATTTACTAAGTAGACTTAATGGAACTGTTAACAAGCTAGGATGGGATGGGTTATTGGGCTCAGACATTAGTACTTAAATTACAAAATACTGTCAAGATGAATACATCCATCCAAATATGGTGATGACTGTTCACAACTATTTAATTTTGGTACATTCAGTTCTTAATGCTCATAAAACACGAGGTGTTCAACAGAAGCCTGCCTCAATGTGATTACAAGATATCAACACTTAACACAAAGAACCTCTAGCACACCATTCACATTCACTGTCATCAAATATCATGAATCACAAAAATCACTGTCATTGATGGCTTCATGTATGGAAAGTTCTTGGACTAGGTCAAAAAAGAAATGCTGGCTAAACTTATTCAATGTTGGCTGCCACTTCCCTCAAAATAGTCTCCTTGGGAATGTATACAGCGATCCCATAATTTTTTCCACGCTTCAAAACCACCGTGGAAGTCGTTTTCCTTAACACTGTCACGTACTGCTTGCAAATTCCCTTTGGATGTCAGACACTGTTTCAAACATCATCCCTTCTGTTTCATTTTCAATTTGGGAAACAGTAAAATCACAGCAGGCTAAGGTTGGCAAGTAGGAATGAAGGGGAATGATAACCATGTTGTTGTTGTTACTCACAAATTCTGTGGTTCTCCGGGATGTGTAGGTGGGTGCAATGTCGTGATGGAGCCAGTCGTGGTTGCTCTTTTTTATCACACATTTTCTCTCAAGCACCTCAAAACGTCACAGTAAAAGTCAGAGCTGACCGTAGTGTTAGGATGAACAAATTCACAGTAAACAATCCTCTTCATGTTGAAAAAACAAGCATGCTCTTTGTTGAACTCTGGACCTGCCGTGCCTTTTCTGCTTTTGGTGACTGTGGGCTCTTCCACTGCAACAACTCTTGCTTTGTTTATGGATCATAACTGCAAATCCAACTTTCATCACCTGTTATGATCTTAGATACACTTGAAGTTGGATCTTCATGAGCAGGGCCTGGATTTCGATGACACGTCATCTTTTTTTTTCCTTGTATCCTATTCGGTGCCCGTAAATATATAAAACCTGGAGATGTGCTGCTGGTTACAGAAATGTAACTTGTATAGGTAATTTTTGTCATTTTTAAGTTTTAGGTAATTTATTTGTATTTTTGGTAATTTTTTGGACTTTTAATGGTATTTCTTGTCATTTTAGCCATTTTAGGGAATTTTTCTTTATATGTTCTCTAAAATGCGAATAATATGCAAGTAAAGTGTTCTTTTTCCTGCCTCTACAAATGCAGCCTGCAGCTGCACCCCAAGTACCTGCTATCACAGTATGCAATAATAAGTTGTAATAATGTCCCATCCTTTCTGTTTGTTTTGCAGAAAGTGCTGACAATATATATTGTAAAATATTTTCAGCCGGCAGCAAGGTATGACAGTGGTCACTCACACTGCGGCTCATTCCAAGTTCTGTGTGAAGGAATTTGCTTAGTTACAACTATTTCTAGTTGGAATCCCTCTTTTTATGACATATTATTGCTCAATAAAACTCTGTGTGTGAAAAGTTCAGTTCTGTGTTGCATTAGAGTGATTCATTTTATCAAGATGCCTAAAGCAAAGCCATCTAAATATACAGTAGAACTTGGTTATAACGTCATCAAACGGACCTAAAAATATTGTCGTTATAAACGAATGTCGTTGTAACCGAAATGGGCACTTCCACAGTAGCCTTATGTTAGTCACGTAAAAATCTACCAAAAACCAAGTTCAAATGTTGCATTTTTTAGTGAAATACGTAGTTAAGTACAGACTAACGTAACATTAACGTGGAATTGCCCAAATGTGTAATATCAAAGACATATTACAGCGCTTTTCACTGACAATACACACAATATTTCACGAATCACTTTAACTTTCTCTTCAATGCTTAAAACTTTCCTTTTCATTGCCATGTTTTCGCTACTGCACTTCTCTGGGTTTAGGCAGGAACACTATAGGGTAAGTAGACAATGTGAGGTCCTGTTAGACGAGATTCTAGGAAAGGAATGCAGTTAACAACCTGCCGCGTCCTCTTGCACTATTCACGCAGTCCCACCCCACACCCTTGTTTTCGCATAAAACCCACGCTCCTCTTGCAGCCCGCGGTCGTATTCTTGCAGGACAGTCACATCAGCAAGTAGAGAAAGTGAGGGTGGGCAGACACATCGAACTTTCCCACGATATCAGAGAAATTCAGGAATGAAAATGAAGTTACATACGAGGTTGATGCATTTGTGCATGTCGTACTAAGCAAGGTACAAAAACAGTTGCTTTATGAGGAAATAGTTCGTACCATTGAATATTTGACGCAATAGACAAGGTGTCGCAGAAACCGATGTTGCTATAACCAAGTTTTACTGTATTTTAAAAGGAGGCAAGTCAATAACGTCATTTTATACAAAACTGGTGCGTATTACTTGCCTAGCACACGCACTGCATAGAGTGACCGGGGGGAGGGGGGGGAGAGATCAAGATTTCAAGTGAATGCTCTCGTGTTGTGGAAGATTACTTTCGTCAAGGCTCCAGTTCATAAAATACAATTTAAATCTATGGCTCCTGGTATTCCACTGTCCCCAGAACCCGTCATCACAAGGTGGGGAACGTGCATTGATGCTACAACTTACTATTGCTATCATTTTCAGGTAGTGAAATACATTGTATATTCAATGAAGACAGAAGATGCAAGGGCAACTGAAGCTGCTCAGGAACAGTTATCATGCAACAAAATGGAAGGACAGCTGGCCCTCATGAAGGCAAATTTCAGTTCCTTGACAGAAGGATTGAATGCTTACAAGAGAAAGGAACATCGCTTGCTCTCATGGAAAAAAAAACAGCCAGTGATTTGGAGAAATTGTCAGGGGACATCGGTAAAATGGTGTTTAGAAAATGAAAAATGTTCTAGATAAAAACTCAGGTTATGAAACATTATGCAGTATTTCTCGAATTATGACAGGAGAGTCCTTCGGCACTTTCAATATTGAAGAACTTCCTGCTAGTGATTTGGTACAGTTCAAGTATGATCCCATTGTGTCTGTAGATGTGGAAAGCAGTTTCTCCAGGTACAAGAATGTGCTGTCAGACAATAGGTGTTCACTCACTTTCAAGAATCTCTTCATGCTGTCATCTATTGCAACTCTGAATGAGGTTACACTTAAATATTACAATATATACTGTATATGTACATTTGATAAGCGTTCCAACATGGTAGAAAAAATTGTATTAAAACATTTAGCTTCAAATTCAACCACATATTGCTTAATTGTCATCATAAAAACGAGGAAGAACTTAAAAGAGTAATGATGAGTTCACAACGGTAATAAAGATTAAAAATACATTTTAAAACAATTAATTTCTGTCATTTTTCTGGATTTTTTCAGTCATTTTAAAAATATTTTAAGTCATCAAAATCCGGGCCCTGCTTATGGCCTTTTCGCCTAGCTTACGGCACATGTTTACATGACCCTGCTCTTGATCATTTGTCAAGAGTTGGGGAACAAACTTGGTGGTAATGTGGCACATGTTCAAATTTTCTGTTAAGATCTCCTGGCAAACTCCATAACTGATCCAAACAGTGTCTGCGAGCTCATAGATTGTTCGGCAATGGTCTTCATGGAAAAGTTTTCCAATTTTTTCTACATTTTCTGTTGTTCTGCTGGTGCTTGGTTACCCTAAACATTTGTCATCTTCCACTGACACTCGAGTGGCCTTGAACCATGAATGTCATTCATGTCTGGCTTAAAGAATGTTCTCCAAAAGCACTTCAAGGGTTTTGGTAGCATTTTTACCAAGCTTTAAGCAACACTTGATGCAGACATGTTGCTCGATTTTGCCATCCATTGCAGCCAAAACAAAACACAATGTAAAAAAAAAAAACTCTCGTGTAAAAACAACACATGTACACAGCATCGTTTCACATGGCAGACTGATGCAGCAGGCTTGCAGATGTGTGACCTTTGCCTCCCCTCTCATCTTCTTTCACCAAAGGAGTTACAATATGGTAAGGTAAAGCTTTCCTTGTGGCAGGCCGTGGAGGCCCATAGGGTTGTGACACATCAAGGCTCCCACATTTTCTGAACAATAGGCTCACAGGTGGCAGTGAAGTTGTCACCCTTAAGCGTCAGCCACCGTTCACCCCCCAGGAATATTCCTGGTACTCATTTCTGTTAGAGGCTGGTAGGACCACCATGTGGCTGGAAGGAATAGGTCAATTGGAAAATCCAATGACCTCATCGGGATTCGATTCTGCGACCTTTGAGCTTGTAGCATAGCGTCTCGATGAACTATGCTACCACATGTCCCTGTTACAACAATGACAGTCCAGGAACATTCATCAGCACATTGTATGCAAAAATTTTCAGGTTGTGCTACATCAACTGTATTGTGAAGTGATGAAAAATTGTCTATAGTCTGGATTTTTCATCTCATGACTTTCATACATTAGGTGCAAAAGTACGAGGGTAAGTCAATAAGTTACAAATGGATATACGATGGGGTACCCAAAAGAAACCGAACTATTTTTTTTGTGGGCAGAGCTTTTGTAGTACCGCGTTTTGCTGCTATGAGCGCATAGAGCTAACATTCCTGAGTCGATAAGCCGACTACTGTTGCTTCAGAAGGTAAGGACTAGTTTCGGCAGAGTTTATAATGACAACTGTTTTGTGTGATCGTCGTTTTTGCAATGGCTCATTTTCGTGAACAGCATGAGGCAGTGAAATTCTGCTTTTTGCTCGGGAAAAGTGGAACAGAAACTCTTGAAGTGTTAAAAACGGCGTACAAGGATGATGCTATGGGGAAAACTCAGGTGTTTGAGTGGTTTTCCCGTTTCAAAAATGGTGAAATGTCAATTGATGACAAACCTCGTTCTGGTCGTCCTTCCATGGCCCAAACACATGAAAATGTTGAAAAAATTCGTGAAATCATCAAGGAAGATCGACGACGGAC